CGCCGCCGCCGCCGCCGCCGCCGCCGCCGCCGCCGCCACCACCACCACCACCACCCGGCTGGTTGTAGGTATTCTTAGCCCTGGCCTCTGTTTCCTCAGCTGTAACATGAGGTGCTTAGGTCAGATCAGCCCTCAGCTTCACTTCCTGGTTATTTTTTACCGTGAGACGAATTGACCCTCAAATGTAAGTTTAACCGTCATTTTCTTTCATTCATTAATTTATGGGCCAGGAAGTTAGGAAGGGCTCAGTGGAGCAGTGCTTGGAACTCCTGCAGCTGCAACCACATGGCCATTGGTACTGCAGATATACGAGGCTCTTGAGCTGAATGTTCAATATGGCACACTCGCATTCTGGTGGTTGACACAGGCCATCGACCGAGAGCTCAGCTGAAGCATCAACAGAAGGGCAAGCACGCGGCTTCCAGCACTGTGGTCTCTGGTACCTGGGCTGTCACAAAGCAGGTAACTCCCCCAGAAACCGCCATCCCTAGACCACTTCGAGGAAGTAGCACGGCCCATGTTGACGTGGCCTTCCTTGCAAGTCACACAGCATTACTTCCTCCATCTTCTGCTGCTCAGAGGAGGGATTTGCTTGCCCGGGTTCAAGAGGAAAGACAGAGAATCTTCCCAATGGGAGAAGAGTTAAAGAATGGGGGTGTCTTTGAGAATTCACCAACAAACAAACCGCCACATTCTTGGAGTTTATAGAATTCTTTAGCCCGTGCCTGTGGCTAGAGCTGGATGAGGCTCTGTGTCTGGTTGTGGCTAAGGAGGAAACAGGACAGTGACTGGATTGGTGATCACCTGCTTCCCTGGAAAGGGAACCATCTCTTTCCTCCTTCCTTGGCTTCTTCCAGGGTTAGGCTGAGACTGTCTTTTAACAATAGTCCTAGGATGCTGGTTCATTGCATGGGCGAAACTTAATTGGCATATATTAGATTATCTGCTTAATTAGCATATATTAGATCCCCTATGGAAAAACTTCTATGCTAGGCTCCACCTGGTACCTCCGGAGCTCATCTATTCCTTCCAGCATCTCAAGGAAGAGATTTTATTGTCGTACAGGTTCAGAGGGTTAAGTGGCCTCCCCAAGGCTGGTGACTGACTCATGATTGAAACAACCTCATACTGCCTGCCCCTGGGGTGAGATGAGGCAGACGCTGTCTCTCGTGTCCTTTAGCATGGCCTTACCACCTTCTTGTCTATTTATTGCCTCCATTCAGGCCCCGAATTTAGCCACTCACCTCCTCATTAGATCAGATTTAGTGTCTCAGTTCTGTGCTTCAAAGCTGAGAGCCTCTCAGGAAAAGCTCCACAAAGATGCCAAAGGTGGATGGTGGAGACATCCAATGCCCCAGAATGGGTTTATTCTATGGGCACCCCTCCCATTCCCAATCTACAGTGAGGTCTGGGTGTCCTGTGAACAGATGCTGTGACCCATAGACTGTGGTGGAGGTGATATATCTCCAAGCCCCAGCATTAAGAATCGGGCAGCTTTCGGCTTAGCTTCCATTTTTCTTCTCTTGAAAGGGGCTCCCTGGGCACTTGGAGTCGTCACGTAAGAACTTGGTCGGGGTCACTAGCAATGAACTGTGTTAGAAAGGTCAGTTACAGAAAGTCGCTCTGACCAGCGGGCCCGGCTGAACTCCACTCTTACCCATTTTCACCCAAGAATTAGATTTTTGAATGCACGTGAGAAAGGGGACTTCCACACCAGCTCTTCTACCAACTGAATACCACCTTAGTTCCCACTCATCTGCTGCTCCAATCCGTACTGGAATTCCTCACTCACAAAATCATGGTATGATGGCCATTTTAACATTTGGGCTGACTTGAAACACTGCAAGAAATAATTGGTTCGGGGTGTGTTATCTCCTTCAAACAATTCTCTCCCCCCTTCCCCTCCCTCCTCTTCTCCCTCCTCCACCCCCACCCCTCACCCCCCCACCCCGCCTTCCAAATTAGAAAATGTAGGCTCAGAGAGATTGAGTAACCAGCCTAAGGTCTCTCAGGAAAGGCAAGACTCAGCTGGCACTTGAACTTAAACTTGACTTTGAGGAATGCCTGGCTTCAGAGCTCCACTGCCGTAAAGCCCTTACTATATTGTGTCTTAGTGTCTACGTACCCCGCCCGGAAGGACGACTGCCATTTCAACCAAAATTACCAAAAAAACAGAGTAGCTGTATAAGGGATGATTTGTCCAGTATTAGAACATTCCCTTGTTTGAGAGAGAAGCAGGGGGATTTGATGGGACAAGAGAGGTGCCTCCCTTGGCCAAACTCGGGGCACTGGGTGCTGATTTGCCTGTTTGGGGGGTGTCTATGGTTAACATGGAGACTGTGCACGGTGTGTTCTTAATGTCGGTTCAGTGACTACCCCACAGAGTAAGTGACACTTGAAGAGGGGGTTCCCAGGCTAAAAGCATGGACAGAAAGGGGCTCCTGCCACCTGGTGGCTGCTCTTGGAACAACAGGTGGCGGGGAAGGAAATGGAAGGTTCTGAATGAGCCTGGGATGGAGTGAGGTAAGAGTGAGGTTCTTCTGAAGACTAGGCTCCTAGTGGAGGCGGGAAGAGGGGCTTTTCTGCTACCAGATCCTCGCTCTGTTCTTCATGGTCCTGCATTCAGTAAGTGCTTCTGCAACAAAACTTGGGGTTACCCCACGTTACACTTCACCTTGAGCTCCCACTGAAGATTCCAAAGGACAGCAGCTGAAGTGAGGGGTAACTCTCTCAGAACTCAGAACGTGGCTGGCTGGGAATCAGCTCACTTCCCTAAGGACCAAGTCAGGCCTCTGCCTTTCTTGCGTTCCCCCACGGACCTCTGGTACCCATCCTTGCAGAGTGGACATATACAGTATTTTCCTGAAGCCGGGCAGGATAGGAATGGCCCCCTGGAAAGCCCTGGAAGAAGACACCAACCACCATCCTCAAAGTAGATGGAGCCTCGCTTCCCTTACCTGGAAAAACATAGGTTCCAAGCATTTCCCCCAGAGGAAAGATCTCAGATGTCCAGAGTTGCTGAGACACAGTAAGGCCAAGCACAGTGCGCACATTGTTGATACCTAGGAAATTGACTGTATATCCATCCCCCAATTTCTCAGCCAGCACCCACAAGAATACTGCCCCGACCCCACCCTAAAACAAGCGTTTGTCCCCAAACCTCCCTCGGCTCCCCTCGCTCTTGTAAGTATAAGAAAGGCAAGAGAGGGTGGTAAGAACAGACACTTTATTGTACACCAGGGTAAGGGAGATGGAGGAGGGGCCCTGGCATGACAAGGACTCATCCCTTCTCCTGGGCTGAGTATCCAGTCTCAGGGCTCTGACCAATCCAGGACACATGGACTTAAAACTGTTCTGAACCTGTGCCAGGACCTGAAGGGATTGCCTGATAGGTCTGTACAAAGCAGGACTTGTCGTGAGAAATGACCCTGGGCCCTCCTCCCCACTCCCTGGCATTCCAGACCTAAGAGGAGGGACCCAGCAGTGCACAGAGTCCAGTCGGGTGTATTGCAATCTTCTCGCTCTCCTCTTTTCACAGTGGGGCCTGTGCTGGCTGGGGGAGGGGTGTGGTGAGGAAGGGAAGAAGGGCCATCCCTGCCTGTAATACTGCAGGCCTGCATGGGGTCTGACTCGGGGCTCACACAGGCTGCCTCTGGAGGGCGTTTCCTGGCACTTTAAAAGCAGCAGCCCCTGAAGATTTATTGCTTGATGGCAGAAGCCAAGCTCACCCGCATTACCTTCTGTGCCTCCTGTCTCCCCCGCCACCCAAACTGGGCCTCAGGCTTCATGCTATCTCCCTGAGGAGGGCTGAGGGCTCCTGGTGCCTGGGGCTGGGAGACAGGCAGAAACAAGGAATCCTTAGGTGTACCTCTGCCCAACTCAACTGACTCACAGCCCCTGAAACCCCTTGTCTCCTGGTGGGCACTGTATGGGCAGCATCAACTGGTGGCAGTGGGGACCCTTGGCCAAGTCTTGGAGACCTGGCCCTCGCTGCCAGTTCCTCCAAGGAAGCGGAGGCTGGGTCTTCGATGGTCTGCTGGCTCCGCCTCAGCTCTCCCAAGAAACCAGCAGAGGTCTAAGCAGCAGCTGCTGTTTTCTTGGGCACTCAGGACTGTTTCTCAAGGACAAATGCAGGACAGAAGGGCCCAGAGCCGCCTCCCTCAGGCAGCCACCCCAAGAAACCCAGTACTGTCTGCCGAAGACCATGTGACTCCAGTGTGGGCAACAGAAGGTTGACTGGAAAATACACGGGGCTTTCTCCCCACCCAGGCCCTCCTTCCCACCAAAGGTGTCATGACAATGAGTCACCTGTAGGAAACACATGCCTTTCCCCACAGCTAGTCTCTCAGAAGCACCTGTCCTGAGGCCTCCCCCAGAGAGCTGAGAGAAAGACCCGGGTCTTCAGAAGTGGTGAACACTGGGGAGTGGGGGGGGGGCGTCACAGATCAGCACCTTATGCACTCACACCTACCAATGTAGCACACACACACACACACACACACACACGAGAGAGAGAGAGAGAGAGAGAGAGAGAGAGAGAGAGAGAGAGAGAGCTGGGTCCTATGTCCAACTCGCAGCAAAGATGCAGAGGAGCCAGGGCAGGCTCTGGCCTACTGCAGAAGACTGTAACAAACACTACAGAGCCCACAATGCATAAGCAAACAGCCCTGGCTCAGCTCCCCCTCCCCCCACTCACTGCAAGCTCACAGGCTGGGGCTTGGCCCAGCCATGCTACAAAATTAAAAATATATCAAATATACAATGAAAATAGATCTGTACAGCACTGAGGATGAAAATAGTCCACCAGCCACAGTATAATATGGGGTTTGTCATTTCACAGCGTTCACACCCACATGTACAGATTGAATGTACAACAGAAATAGCGTGGAGAGGAGAATGGATGGTGGCGTCTCGGCTGGGGCCTGGTTTTCCCGTCTTCTAATTCTGCTTGGGACTAGGCATGGGGCCAAGTAGGAGGTGTTGTCAGGTGAGGGGGCCGATAATGGGATGCTGTGACCCAAAAGCTCATCTCTTTAGGGAGATGCGGACTCCCTCTCACCTTAAAGACTAGGACAGATGGGACCCAGAAGGGAGAGAAGGTGTGAGGAACTGAGGGGAAAGAGAGCCGGCAGGCTGGGGGGATGGACCTCTCAGGCTAGGAAGGGAGGTAACCAGGAGGTATAGGAGCAGACCGTGGGCACATGGTCCCAGTCTGCCGCTCTCCGTACTGAGGGAACTCAGGGCCACAAAAATGACCCAGGAAACTCTGAAAGGTGCCCAGGTCTGTTCCTGCCCACCAGAACTTTCAAAGGCAGAGACATCTATCCACCTACCCATCCATCCGTCCGTCCATCGCAGTCTGCCAGCCATATATATTCATACACCTTCTCTCTGAGGTTATACTGTGGAGATACTCAGATTCTCAGGTCAGCTTCTGAGTCCTCACAGGCTGCTCGGAAACAGCCCCTCTCCCAGGGGAGCTTTGAAAGGAGGTCAGAGACACAGCCAGAGGCTGCATCTTCCTTCGGGGCCTACGGCCAGAGGCTCTGCTTTGCCCCCACACCTTCCTAACACCCCACCCCCACCCCGGGAGCCTCCTGCCCAGAATTACCTGTGCCACTTCTCTGGACAGGCTAGGGGAGTTTGGGGGAGGTTTCCAAGGTGCACGTGACGATGACGTGCACACTGGTGGCTGTGCTTTGCAACAAGAAGAGTGAGTGGCAGCCCAAAGGGGCGGTGAAATTACCCATCTCTCCCTAGAAACGAGGGTTCCCGGTGACGTGGCCCTGAACTCCAGGAACCCCCATTCCAGGGGAGAAGCTGCCACTAAAGAGGAAATCCGAGCTCCAGACGAGAGCGGAAGAGAGTGTTTCGCTTGTGCTCTAAAGCTAGATTGTGCTGGGAACCTACAAATTGTGCTCTGGAAACCTCACCATGCACTGCCCCTTCTCTCTCCGGGACAGAGGCAAAGACCACTGCCCCTGGCTCCAGGCTGGATAGTGGAGATTGAAAAGTGGCTAACCCCTAGTTAAGGTGACCCCCTCCACCATGCTCCCAGGCAGACTCGGGAACATACCCCATCTGCCCCTGGCAGGGGAAAACAGAGACATTTCGAAGATCCCGTGAGCTGGCTGCAGAGTCGTTCCTTTCACAAGGCCAAGGTTCCTGTCCGAGCCTGAGGGTACCGCCTATCTCATGAGACAGAATCGAGGGGCTTCCGTCCACCTCCTGCCAAGTCAACGCCTGAGTCCTGACACACGTGTCCCTATCCGCCGTCTCCGCTCAGGAGCAGCCACGCTGGGTTGGACAGGATGATGCATCCTGTTCTTACAGCAGACTGGGCTCAAGTCTGCCTCCTGCGCCCTCGGCCCCAAAGCCTCTGCCCACTACCGCCATGACCAGCAGCACAAAGTGACCCCCCCCCCCAAGACCTGAGAACTGCAAGTGGTAGGTTTACAGGGAGAAGGGGGTGGCGACTCCTAAGGTGCCCACTTGAAGCTCCCCCATACTGGGACTGGTGTGGTTACATGGCTGCTACTTGGCAACAGTTCTCAAAAAGTTACATGGGGTGGAGGCCTGGAAAAGGGGGTGGAATTGTCCCCAGTCCCCTGCTCATAGGCAGGGAGTCTGCTGGGACTTGGGTGGGGAACAAGGCAGGGCAGATCCTCTCTCCTTGGATTGGCCCGGGTCTGGTGGCTACCAGGGAGGAAGAGGCCAGGCCCAGCCAAGTGGGCAGGTTGGGTATTGAGGGGAGGCAGGCAGGATGGAGCAGTGGTCACAGCTCTGACTCGGGGGTGCTGGCCAGGAGGTAGCCACTTCCATAGCGTCCGTTGGGATTGCCGCTGGTCTCCAGGGGTGATGTGCTGCCGGGCCCCAGATAGGAGCGGTGGGTGGGCATGGGGGAGGGTGCCTCACTGGGCACCTTGCTGAGGATGAAGCGGGTCTCATCATTCTCCTCCAGATTGGAGATGTCCTTCATCATCCGGCCCTTCTTGTAGGACACCGAGAGGGTGTTGGAGCCGTCGGAGAGCAGGTGGAAGTGCCGCAGGATGAACACCACAGGGATGGGCAGGGTGGCCACCGCAATGAGGGTGATCAGCAGTGCCATGGCCCAGTTGGGGAAGTACAGGTAGCGCTCAGCAGCCTAAGGTTGACAGCAGGAAGGATGCTGCAGGGCACCGGACAATGCCCCGCCCCCAAGCCTAGAGGCTGATCTTTTCCCACCCTTGCCCATGGCCTGCCTTCCTCGCCTCCCTCCACGCTGGCCAAGCAGCAGGAGAGATGGTGTCCCCGGGGAGTGCTACTTGAGTTCAGTAAGTCACCTTGGTTAAAGGGGACCTCAGTGTCTACATCTATAGGGAGGGCAGGAACTCCCACTCCACAGACATGAAAAGAGACTGCCTTAGAGCACCCAAGAAGTGTGCTGAGTTTGCTGGGCTTCGGTCTCTCCAGTTATGCGAGAGGAATCAAGGCACTTCTTAGGGTTGTCCTAAAGACTGCACATCAGGAGTCCAAGGCACCTGGCGAGACCTGTCACCGAGCAGCTGTCCTAGAAAGGCTCGCTCCAATCATCTGCTACGCTAAAGGCCCGAGAGGATACATACAAGGGACTCTGGGGTTTGTGGGGGCCACCGCTCACCTCCTCTTTAATCCAGGCACTGTAGCCTGGGGGGGACACCCCCAGCTGGATGATGCTGGCTGTGGTGAGAACAGCCATGAACAACGGAGACACAAACTTCCACATGTAGAAGTAGAAGCGGTAGGGTCGGAAGCCCAGCATCTCCGTTAGCTCCTGCATGAACCTGCCAGGCACAGCGGAAGACGACACTGAGCCTTCCCTGGAGCACAGCCGCCTCCCACCCGCCGTGCTCAAGCCTCCCCCTGCTGGAGGAGAGGCAGTAACGCGCCTTCCTAGCATGGGAAGGAAGAAGCTTCCAAAACCCCAAGAGCTGTAAACCAGACTCTGCGCTGGAATTCCAGGCGGCAGGCAGGCTATGTGTGCGCTACACAAAACTCATCTTTACCTCAATTGCACTAACTGAACCCGGTCATTCCTTCTATTATAAGTGCAAGCAACCTCAAGAGTGTTAACAGTACTTGTGACTTTGTCACAAGTAGATTGAATCAGACAGTTTCTTATCATACGCCAGTTAATTGAAGATGCCTAGAAACACTTCTATCCATCACTGTTTTTAAATTACAGTTATGACTAGACCCATAAATAGATCTCCAGACTTATGGCGGTAAAAATAGAGCACACGTTAAACCACACTAAACAACATTCGGTCAGTTTTCAGGACAATGAGCTTTCTGTAGAATTATGTATAGATAGTTTATCATTAAATGCATAACATAAATATGCATTTAAAAGTAATACTATGGGAATAGCAGGAGGGCTTCCACAAACTGCACAGGAGTCCATGGCACCCACAGTCAGAGTCCTTCCAGCAGAGCCTTCCAGCCCTGGCTCGTGGGGTGGATATGGATTCCTCCTTCCTTCCCTTCTTCTTCCCTTCTCACCCCTCCTTCCCATTTGCTCTTCCTTCCTTCCCTTCTGTTGTTGTTTTTTAAACAGGGGCTTACTCTGTAGCCCAGGCTGGCCTCGAACTGATGGCAACCCTGCCTCAGCCTCACATGTGATGGAATAATAGGCATTTGTCATCACACCTTCTTGGGGGCTCCTTTTCATAAGCTTCCTGCTCCTCCTCCTGTGTGTGCTCTCCCAGGAAGCCCACATCCCCTGTGGATTCCAAAGCCATCTGGACAACCAGGAGGGTCAGGCTGAGTGAATAGTGGAAGGCCTGAGTCCCTCTGAGAACAAGGACAGTGGACATGGTAAACACTAAGGAGTAGAAAGCTGGCAGTCCCAGAAGTCCCTGGGAATGCAGAGCTGACCATAAACAAGAGCTGACAGTAAGTGGAGACCTGCCTTGGGGTCAGGCCTTGAAATCAGATCGGACCTTATTGCTAAATCCTCTTTCCCCATGAGGCCAAAAAAACCATACCTTAAAGTTATAAAGCAGCCTGGCTGCTGAAGTCTACCGACTCTTGAGGGCAGGGGCCTGGAATCCCAACCAAGTGCTAAACCATCTTAGAGGTCATCCAAGGGCTGGCATTCAGCAAAGGGCTGGGGAAGTTAGTTGTTTAGGCTGACATCAGGACCTGAACCTAGGATTCCCAAGGTCCTTAGCATGGCTCTGTCTCTTACTAACCAAGTAGCCTTCAGTATTCATGTCCTCTTGAGAGGCCTCAGTTTCCCTGTGCCAAGGGGCCCTTTAGCTCTGATGGTCCATAACCTCTTACCCCTTTCACAAGCAGCCATGAGAACACAGGACTCCCCAGAAAGCTCCCCCCCCACAACCTGTCCCCACCACTCCTCGATGACCTCCTTACTTCTTGGTTCCATAGATCCAGGCCACAGCGATGTTCTCAAGGATGACGATGACGGTGAGTGGCAGGGTGGCCGAGTAGTCATCAAACATGGTGACAAAGTAGTTTCCGGAGCGCTGGACGAACAACAGCCCCACGAAGAATGCAAAGACACAGCAGCCCACTACAGAGAGCCGAGAGGCCGGTGTGGGGGCACAGGCGCAGGGTGGGTGGGGCCTTGGGGACTCTGGGAGACCTAGCCACCTCCCACCACACTGCTCCCAAGCAGGCCTGCAGTCTGCCTCCTCTAGGATTCACTGACCCAGCCCTGCAGGAGTGTGCTGGAGGCTGAGGCTCTGAGTTCCCCCTAGATCAGGCAGGAGACTCTTGAGGAAGGCGTAAACTCGGTATTCTTCCCCCATACTCCCCGCTCCTGGCACAGCCCCAGGCTCAAGAGAGCTGCTCCACTTAAACACTGAATTGAATTGAGATGATTCAACTGATTGGTCCTACAATCCTTCCCCAGGAAACCTTAGTTTTCCCATTTGAGAGTAGGAAGATGTTCTGCCAGACTCCTACCCCCGAGGGATGCAGGGAGGAGGTAGACAGGTATCCTGACAGTGTGGGTAGCTGCATGGCACATCCAGGTCCAACTGTCTACAGTCACGGGGGAGAGCCTTCTGCAGATGGGGTGCTGAATTGCCCAATCAATTCAGAACCTAATTGTCATGTGCATGCTTGGCTGGTATCTGGCAGGGCAACAGGGAGTTAGTTACCTGTGAAGATCTCCTTGGGCACCTTGAAGGTGTCGATGATAGGTGTGGTGATTCCTGCCATGGTCCCGATCATGCTGCCCAGGCCCAGGTTGATGAGCATCAGGAAGAACATGACAGACCAGAAGGGGGAGGCCGGGAAATGTGTCATGGCCTCAGTGAAGGCGATGAAGGCCAGGCCTGTGCCCTGCACAGACTGAGGGTGGGGCAGACAGTAGGAGCCACCCTTACTCCAGAAGTCCCCTGCCTCCTTTCCCTCTGGAGGAATGGGAATCACTGTCCCCTCTTTCATAGGAATCCCCATTGCCACTTGAACTCTTTCAGCTTGAGAGAAGGGATCTCAAACCTTAGTGAGTATCAAAATCTCCAAAGAAAGCTAGCTGTAGTGACTCGCACCTGTAATTCCAGCACTCAGGAGGCTGAACCATGAGTTCAAAGCCAGTCTGGACTTCACACTGAGTTTCAGGCTAACCTGGACTACAGATTAAGACTGTCTCAAAGCAACCAAACTAAACCAAAATATTTTTTTAAGTCCCTGAGGGTTTCCCTGGGGGACCTAGAATCTACAGAGTGTTTAAGGACCCCAGTGATCCAGGTGAAGATGCTCCCATCTAGAAACACACACAACGTGAGACTCTGTACGTCTAAGACATCATCTTCACTGATGATGCAGCCAGAATGACCACTCCCAGTTCTGAAATGCTGAACTCCAGACCTTAATACAATACACTCAGGCTCAGCTGTCCAATGGAAGCAACTGAATTCTTTAAATACTCACTCTGTGTCAGAGTCTCCTGCAGACAATGCTTTCATTGGTCTAGGGTTAAGCTGGAGTGAGGTTTTATACATCTGGGGGGGGGTATGGACAGTCCGAGTAGGGAGTCATTGCTTTAACACAGAGGCCCTTCTCACAGGCACCTGCCCACACACTGCCTGCTCACGTCACTCATAACTGTCCTGTGATATTGAGGAAACACATGGTCCCACCTGAGATGTCATTTAGATACTCTTGAGGTTTCATTGTGTGGAAACCCTGCTATATTCTTAGTTTTTTTTCAGAAGATCAGATCATGCCCATGAGAACAGAGCATGGAAGGAGAGGATGTTGCCTGGGAATGGCTAGTTGGGCTCCTTCGTTCTCAACCACAGGAGAGAAGCCAGAGATGGTGGGATGCAGCTTCCCTAGACCAATGAAGCTGTCTTTATGCTTTACTTCTGTTAATCCTTTTTTTAAAGTGCACAGAATAAAACCCAGGGCCACAGGGACGCTAGACCAGCTCTCTACCGACAAAACTGCATCTCCAAGCATGGAGCAGCCTTTGATGTGGTGTTCAGACACCTCGATGGGAAGCTTCTGGTCTCATGAAGAAACTCAGGGGCTGATGGGGCTTTCTATCCCCAACTTGAGCCTTGGCTCTAGCCAGAGTCCCGGGATCTGTGGGTTTGTTTCCTGTTACCACTGCAGAGGTGCAAATGTAAACACGAGAAAGTTATCCCCACTTCGACCCGAGCATTACTGAGGAAGGCAGCATCTCTGTTCTAGCCCAGGAGCTAAGTGTCGCTGTGGCCGTGGACGTGAAGGCAGTTGGGGGGTGGGGGCAGAAGTTTCAAGGGATGGTGCAGGACAAGGACTCTGGGACAAGAATCCTGGAATTTTTTTTTTTTTTTTTTTGCTTGCTCACTAACTAGCTGTGAGGTACTGATTAACTTGATGAACCCTCTCTTCCGACCCACAGGCTGCTTATTGATAAAACTGGGAATGATATTCATAGAGCTGCCTCGGGATCAAAAGAAATGGGAACTAGAGGGAATTAACATTTACCTGTTTCACAGGTGCTGTTCGAAGTGGATTGTACACACAGGGTCCTGTGTACAGGAAGCCTGCTCAATAAATGCAGAAGCTGACTCAAGCTGACAAGGGCTCCTGGGATCTCAGTGTTTCCTGTGGCCCTTCATCTAATCATAAGCTCCCCTCTGGGCAGCTTTGGCTGACACTTCCAGCCTTTCTCCACCTGTATACACAGTGAGTCTTCGCTTGTTAGTAAAGGAATGACTCTATGGCGGTGGTTCTCAACCTGTGGGTCACAACCCCTTTGGAGGTCAAGCAACCTTTTCACGGGAGCCACCTATAAGATATCCTGTGTATCAGGCATTTACATTATGACTCACAAATGTAACAAAAGTATAGTTATGAAGTAGCAATGAAATAATTTTATGGTTGGGGGGTCATCACAACATTAGGAACTGTCTTAAAGGGTCACAGCATGAGGAAGGTTAAAAACCACTGCCTGTTTTCAGCCTTTCACAGCCTGTTCCCAAGCTCCAGGCACGAAACCTATGTTCGGGTTCCTGCCTATGCTGGGAAGGGCAGTCTGTTTCGGTACCTTGTCCAGCTCATCCTCCAGGAGGCAGGGATCCAGGCCCAGGGCTGAGAACTGCTTTTCCTTAACCGTCATGATGACGTTGTACATCTCCGAGTAGTCCTTGGTGGTCAGGTGTGAGAAGTTGACATGGGGTGGGATGAGGTCCCGGCTCAAGACGTTGGAGTTGAGGTACCCTAGGATTTTCTCAGCATTCCTGCATTGCAAAGAGGGCAGGGCCAGGTAAGGAGGTGGGAGTCGGACCCGAGAGGCCCCTCCCAGGAACCCAGGCAGGGTACCCACAGGCCACTGACAGAAACCTCCAGGAGCCTGTCTTTGTGGGCCAGGGCTGAGGAAGATGATGCTCTCATCCCTGATGGGATGGAGGGGACCTCTCATCCTGCCCAGCCCACCTACTACCCCCGTGTGAGGCAGGCCGGGGGAGGAGGGACCGGAGGGGCCATGCCACCTACTCGACCACACATTTCTCATTCATGATGTTGGCCTTGAAGCCCAGCACAGCAAACACCACGAGGGTGGCCAGCACCGAGGTGAAGAAGTTGATGAAGGACACCAGGGCAGCATCGAAGTGGCAGTTATTGTCCTGCTTGTTGTAGCTGGAAAAGGCGATGACACCTCCGAAGCCCAGCCCCAGGGCGAAGAAGACCTGTGTGGCTGCCTCCCGCCACACCTGGGGGTCCAGCATCTTGTCCAGCTAGGGGGTGACCACAGGAGCAAAGAAGGAGACAAAGAGATGATGGTTTTACTCATGTGCGCACCATCCCCATCCTTTCCTCAGCCTCAACAGAGTTGATGCCATAGGGCCTGCTACTAAGTATCTATGACTGTGCGATTCTGGGCAATTCACCTAATTCCTCCAAGCCTCAGCCTCCTCAAGCACAAAGGACGGATGAGAGTGTCAACCTCAAACATTTAAAAATGCTGGGTGCTTATACGGGAGGCTGAACTGTAAGCATTTGGAAGGCATGGAGCATTTGGGAGGCGTGGAGCTTTCCAAAGCCTTTTTCAAACCAAATGTTCTTTCACTCTTCATTCCTCAAGGTAGGAGCCAAGGAGAACGAAATAGGCAGGGTTCCAGCATCCTTGGGGCTTGTGGTCTAGTTGGAGAGATGGACATGGGGAAACTGATCCCACCAACAGCTGCAAAATTGCAAATATGGCAAGGGCTGGGCAGTCAGGTACTCAGTGCTCAGAACGCCTGTGACAGGAAGATCAGGAGGTGAGGGATGCTGCCCAGGGGAGGGAATCCTCAAGCTGGTCATCTGACCGGTGACAACAGAGGTGAGGAGAATATTGGGGAAGAGAGGTCAGTGTGAGCACAGGGTGGCCTATAAAGGGGTGTGGAAGTGCCTAAGGTGGTTACACAATGAGGGGGTGTGGCTGGACTCATGAAGTGGTATACATGTGTTGGCACAGGTAGGGGGAAGGTGAGGTGAGCAAGTGGGGTGGTGCAGGTGGGACGATGTGGGCAGCAGAGGTGATGCAGGTGGGCTGGAGCAGGTGGTACAGGTGGGACGATGTGGGCAGGAGAGGTGATGCAGATACAGTGGAGCAGGTGGTACAGATGGGATGATGTGGGCAGGAGAGGAGATAGGTACAGTGGAGCAGGTGGGGTGGTTCTTATGAAATAGTACAAGTCCGCAGGTATGTTTGGGAAGGGACAGTGAGGCAGCCCAGGTGAGGCAGGTACAGGTGGGACAGTGTGGGGAGGCTAGTTCAAGTGGTGCTGAGAAAACCCAGAGTCAAAGGCTTATGGAGATCTCTGTATTCATCCTAAGAACACTTGATCCCGGATGCACTAAGGGGCTGAGGAAAGAAGGCTGCTGTTAGATGTGCGTCACAAGGAAACCGGTGTATATAGCCAGGAAGCTGCAAGGAAACACCTTCTGGAGGTCCAAGTGGCATGTGGGAGTGGCTTTGCCAGATGGTGCTGAGGGAGAGATTTAAAAGGGAGAGATGAAGACCTTAAAGATGGACTGAGATGGGTATGCTAGACTGGGAGGCCATGTTTGTGGTGTGCCTGGAGATGGGGCTGAGGGAAGAGAAGGTCCGTGGTGCTGGGCAGAACAGGTCTAGACAGCAGGTTTAGAGAGGCTGAGTTTAACGTGCTGGGAGATGTTGAGTAGGGAGCTGGACAGTTTTAGTAGAGAGCACATCTGGAGATGGAGGCTGGGACTAGCGCGTGTCCCTGTAGGAAGTAAAACTATAGACAGAGAGTGAGGAGGGGACTGAGCCTCAGGCCAACTCCATCTCTAGAGTTTCATGCCAGGAAGAGGAAGTCATCTCAAAGGGAGCAGGAGACGCATAAGGGGGAAAACCTGGGGTGGTACATTGTAGAAGGAAGGTCAGTGTTCCCAGGGACAGATCCCCAGAGAGGAAGTCAGAGGTCAGGAGGTCACAGGTGGGATTAGCTGTTCAGAGATCCAGAGGCCCTGGAGCCAGGTGGGGGGAGGGAGACAAGAAGCATACGGAAAGAACCAGGCATATAAGCTAGTCCTTGGAGAGGCCAGCCTTGGGCAGCTGAAAGGGCATCATTAGGAAAAACCAGTGAGATCAGTGTTGTTTTTCTATATTGTCATTCTTTGTTTGTTTGTTTCGGGCACTAAGGCTTGATGATCAGATACACAAACTAGTTGGGGACAGGGATGCAGGGACAGGGGATGGAGTTGTCTTCCACAAGAGCCCTTTGAACTACTCATTAGAAATGGAGGAGGGTGAAGGACAGGACAGGTGCAAGCTGGTCTGTACATCCAGTTTCTGCCCGTCATTTGGGGAGCTCTTGACTTGATAGCCCTGCTTTCCCTGAGAAGCCAGAGGGGAGGGTGCCAAAGGATGGATGCTGCTGTATCAGTGGTCCAGGAAACAGGGACGGGGTTTCCTGCACTGCTGTGGGCCACCACATGTGCACAGGGGAAGGTCTGCTTTTCAATGATGTTTGTCTTTTGAGAAAGGGTCTCACTGTGTACTTCAGACTCGCTGAGAGCTCATGCTTTCCCTGTGTGCACCATCATGTCCAATGCCTTTTCACTCTGTGTGTGTGTGTGTGTGTGTGTGTGTGTGTGTGTGTGTGTGTGTGTAACTCAGGGCCTCCTGCATGCTAGGATCCTGCTCTACTTCTGAGCTTCATCCCTAACACTGAGGTTTGGCTTTTGCTGGAAGATGAAAGGTTTTAGTTTTAGTTTTGTGTTTTGTTCTTACAGAAGTAGCCCAGGCCCGGGGCTCCTATGTAAAATCTTGGGGCCAAACTGGTTTGGACTTGAGGCTTTTGCTTCTAATTTTAATTTAAGACAGTAATATGGCGCTATGAGACCCAGCCATATTAACATCCCCTAGCAAGGTTCAGGGCAGAACCCTGTAATCAAACACTTCGGGGTTGCAGCAACACAATATGAATCTTCACACCAAGTGAATCAATAACGACTATAAATAGCCTGGCATCTGTGCAGGCCATTTTCCCTCCAAAGGAGTTCAGCAGGAACCAAAGCAAAAAGCAAAGTGAGGCGTGTGTTTTTAAGGCATTAAGAAACAGAGGTCTGTGCTGGGCCTAATAGAAAAGGGGAGATTAGAGAAAGGGAGAAGAAACTAGTCATTCACTTGTGAGAAAGGACACACTCCTCCCCTACCCCCTCGGGTGACAGATTTTCAATGACTCTCCAAAACCCAGAAATGGGTTGAGGGATTACTGTAATATGAATACCTAAATGATCTTAATAAAAATCCCAGAGCCAGATATTGGGGTGAAAGCTGAAAGATCAAAGAAGCAGAGCGGCCACAGCCACTACCTCTGACCTCACCAGCTCCTCATCCAGAAAGAGCTCTGGCCGAAAGGGCTTCAGCTGAAAAAGCCTCTAGTTGAAAGGGACGCTTCTGATGAAAAGCTTTTAGTTCCTGTCTCCTCACGCCTTATATACCTTTCTCCACCCACCATATCACTTCCTTTTTAGTGCTGGGGTTAAAGGCATGTGACTCCCAAGTATTGGGATTAAAGGTGTGTGCCACCGCTGCCTGGCTCTGTTTTCTCTCCTAGACTGAGTCAATCTCATGTAGTCCAGGGTAGCTTTGAACTCACAGAGATCCAGATGGAACTATGCCTCCTGAGTACTAGGATTAAAGGTGTGTGCCACTACTGCCTGACCTCTAGTTTAATCTAGTGGCTTGTTCTGTCCACTGATCTTTGGGTAAATTTTATTAGGGTACACAATAATTCACAACTGATTACATATACTCTGAGGTCATGCTGGCCATCACTGGCGCTTCCTGGTGTCCACTGTCATGGTTTCGCCTATCTTTGAGACCCAAACATGGGACTTTGTTAGGATTCCCATCATCCCCTAAAGCTAAAGCAAGAATGTGGTTATATGTCAAGTTCCATCACTGTTTAGGGCTAAATTTCTTAAGTGAAAGCAACTATTCCAGGGGAGACAGCCCAGTCCCAAACTGACTAGTTAAGTCTGATCTAATAACTTGAGGAACATCTCAAAGAACAGGGCAGAGTTGAGGTGTATGTAACCATTTTGGTTAGAAACAATTGTTTCTTTTATTAAGATCATCATAGCTATCATTATTCCTTTTAAATATGGCCCGTGTATTATAAAATGAACAAAAGTAGAAAAGCGTAGTATAGCAAGACCCTGCTATAGTCTTTACCCAGCTTCAGAAACCATCAGCAGGAGACCAAGCTCATTCTTCTAAATCCCCACCCCCACCCCCAGCCCTAGATGACTTTGAAGCAGACTGATAGCTGCAAATTGAGATCGGAGGCCCCATAAAATCACCTAACAGTAGCGTTTACCCTTGGAGGGGAGATTGCCCTGTGTGGGTGTTCTCCCACACCCTTGCTTTTCTGGTCCATAGCTTAAGTGGGGGACACTTCTGATGATGGAGGTGAACAGATACCCAAAGCCAGTCTGGAGGTGAACTGCATCAGGAGGCTTCAGTACTGACCGCCTGATGCTACTTGATTTTAAAGGAGGCTCTTGTCGGGCTTCATGGGATGGCAGTGTGTGGTTTCAAGAAGTGCCAATGGAGGTCAATCGAGAGGGGAGGCCCCATGTCCCTTCCAAATATTGGGATAAGACTACAAGAGGAGAGGTGGGAAGGGATTTTCTGCTCTGGAGAGAAGCCCATTCCTGCCCAGTGTGAAACAGCATTGGCTTCCTGCTGTTTCTTTCGCATGGTGTCTAAGTCACTTCCTGCCAAGGGAACAAGGCATTTTGCAGCATAGAAGATGCTTTCTGAATGCACAAGCAGCTGCTGAGCACCAGCCTGAGTGACACATCACAGCAGCACCCACGTGAGACAGCAGCACACACCCTTGCTTCTCAGTATTTCTCTAGCACCTGCCACGGCAGAGCCAGACTGAGCCGCAGACACCAGATGGCACTGGAGTGCCGAGTTCCCGCTGCCTAAGAACAGTGTCACCTTCACCAGGGACAGGGACAATAATAGCTTGTGCTTGCCGTGCGTTCCCCCCTTGCCAGGAGCAGTTCTGAGCTCCGCTGACAGCTCTGTGCAGGGGTATCACCGTGTACTCTCTCCCACAGCCGTGGAAGTAGACGCCAAGAGTCAAGGAACCTCCCCAGTGGAAGCAGGTCACAAGGCTGGGCATCTTCTTCGAGAGGTCTTTGCTCAAATGGGAGCCAAGAAGTCCCACAACCAGGCTGTTTCCTTGGGATCTTGGAACTTTCAAGAGCCTCTCTGCTTTTCTCTGAGAGTTAATATATATATAGACTCATGGTCCTTTGGGCTCCTTTTCTTTACCTCTCAACCCCAGAAGTTCAGTTTCCTTTCCCAGAAATAAGTAACTGTGGTTTGGCTTCCTGAGTATTCTTCCAGTGAGGTTCAGACAGATACCAGCACATGAGATAGACATCCCATGTTACAACATATATACAGACACGTGTGTATATTCCTCCCACACTACATGGAGCTCTCCCATTCTTGGAGCACGCCATCTTGCTCTTGGTCTCCACACTTCCTCAATGTGCGGCATCCCAAAGAGTCCCAGAGTACCTAGCGAGCTGCTCTGCTCTTTCCACTCACAGCCTCACTCCATCGTTAATTCGCCTCCTTTGGAAAACAGCAGTAATAAGAACACTTGCCCTGAGGGGCATTAGAAGGTGTCGATAGTTGATATACGAGAGGAGTATAACACCTCCCTGACCTGGGAAGCAATGTGCTCCCAGAATGTTCATTTGCAAAAAGCTGCATCTCAGATTGCTGAGAGCTAGGGGAGACCCGTGCTACTGAGGTCCCGCCCACTCCAGAGCCCCATCTACCAGATGGCTTTTAGGGCCATGCCTGTCCACTGTTCCCAAGTGGACAGCGACCTGACACTCACACCTCCTTAGCCCTCAGTGCTCCTCCTTCATTCTTATTCCTAGCTGACCAGTTGGTTTCCTACCTCACTGAGAAATGCCACTACCAGAGAACTCCCACCATGAGAACCCTCCCCACGGCTTCTTCCTGCCAGCGCCATGCCAGGGGCTGCCCTCTCCCTGGTGGGTGGGTGTGGATCCAGCTAACGCCAACTCTTCCCTCAAGGACCCGGGGCCTCTCTCTGATGTCATCTGGATCTTTCTAAAGTGTACAGGTCAACAATTTTTAGCACATAAATGTTGAACAGTCAGTATCACTATCAATTCAGAGCCTCATCCTTGTCCTTAAAAGAAGCACGATTCTATTAACTAGTAGTCACGTCCAGCCCTAAGTGACTGCTAGTGTAATATCTCCATGGATTTGTATAGTCTGGACATTTCATGTGCTTGGAATTGCATGCGCAGTGGCCTTTTGTGTCTGGCTTCTTTCGATTTGCTTACTGTTTTCCAGTGTGCGGCAATGCTTCCTTCCCTATTGTAGCACGTATCCGTACTTTATTCTTGTGTGCTGCCTAAATATGTTCATAGGGGGAGGGTTGTCTATTTCTGTGTGTCCACTAGCGGAGGTCAGAGGTCAGCCCTGAGTCTCTTCCTCAGTTGCTCTCCACCATTTATTTATTTATTTTTGAGACAGGCTATCTCACTGGATTGATTACCAATTCATTGAACACTGACGGCTAGCATAGAACTTAAATAGAACATAGAACCCGGTCCCAGGGATCCTGTCCGCATCCACAGAGCTAGGTTACAGGGACATGCCACCATGCCTGTCTCTTTTACGTAGGTTTTAGGGATCAAATTCAGGTCCTCATGCTGGCGTGGCACACACTATACTGTGCCATTATCACAGCTCTGGTGCATCATGCCTTTCTGTGGATGGGCACTACTTCATTTGATGCACCTACCGCCTTTTGTTTGTCCGTTCCTCAGCTGATTGACATTTTGGTTGTTTCTACTTCAGGGCTATTATAAACCATGCTGCTTTGAACATTCATGTTCAAACTTTGTGTGAATACACATTCTGAGTTTTCTCAGATACAAGTCTAAGAGTAGAATTGTTGCATCATATGGAGATGCCAGACTTTTTCAAAGCTCTTGCATCATTTTCAATTCTAGCCTGTCAGTGTTCGACGAATTATTTTCATCATTATATAAATTCTGCAATAATATACTTGACATAAGGGTCTTCTCCATGTACTATTCCACTTCTCCTTTTGTTTTTGTTTCCTTTTATAGTGAAACTACTGGATATAAATGCTCCTCTTACTTGTCTCTAACACATCACCTTGCATTTTCTTTTAGTTCATTACTATAAGAGTTTGTCCCAATATTCTACCAAAACATCTCTTACGAAGGTCACCAATGACACTTCTGTTGCCAGATGATTGGCCATCTTCATCATCTGTGAATCTCACCTTTATTCAAACATTTCCCCCACTCTGCCTGGGGGCACTGGATATGTGTGCCTCTTTCTTCTCCTCTGCCTCCCTTACCTGCTACCCTTCACTGTTTATAGAAATATGTCTATGTTTAACATCTCAAAGAGTGCATTAGCAAGATGAATCCCAAATTCAGGACAACAGTTTCTGTAACCCCAAATTTGCATATTGGAAACCAATATTCAGGAGCGGTTCCCTGGAAGTGATTAAACTGTGAGGAAACCACTCTTGTGAATGGGATCAGGGCCTTTACAATAGAGGCTCAAGCTGGTTCCTTTGCCCTTTCACAATGGAATCTTCTGGTGCCTTCACCTTGGCCTTCCCAGTTCTAGAATTATGAGCAATAAATTTCTTTTGCTTATAAATTATTTAGTCTAAGGTATTTTGTTATAGCAGTAAGAGCAGACTGCCAGTGGCTGCCTTTGAGAAAGGAATGTGACAACGGAGAGCATTACAAAGACACTTGATTGGCATCTGTAATGTTTTACTTCTTTAAAATGCCTATTACACTACTAGAGATATAATTATAAGCTTGAGATATTTCAGAATTAAAGAGACATTGTAATGGGTGTCTGAATCCAGTGAGGTGAATTGAAGTTCTGTGTGTGCTGGGGCTGGTGGCCAAATCCAGTGAGTCTCTGCCATTAACTTTAGGATCTTCATACCAATGACTCTTAAGTCCATCAGCAGCCTATCTGGAGACATTTGTGAATCTCCATGTTCATGCGCATCATCAGAGCATCTAATATCCTCATATAGATCAGTGAAGTCTAGCTCAAAGACTCAAGTAGACATCTAAGATTGTGTGACTAGGGTAACCGTTGAAGTAGTTCATAGAGGCTGATGGCCTTCTCGTGATCACTTACCCCAGAGGAAGCAGACTGGTTCTCTATCAGATATCACATGTTAACAGCCCTATGGTTTGCTTTAGGAGACATACTTCATGCTTTAGAAGGCGAGTCTTTGTAAGCATGTCTGTAGAAATCTTGGTTGTTCAGTCCAAGGAGGCCTAAGGCCAGTTTGTGCAGTTATGGGTAGTATAGGTCCTAACCATGGCCATCCTCCACACACCAGGAACCTACTCACAATAGCAGGGCAGGAGAGTCAGAGACCTGGGGACTTCAAACTCCATGGAATCTGGTCTTGTAGAAAAGGTGTGTTACTTTTGTTTATGTTGCATTTGTTTAACTCTGTGAAGCTGTGTTACTGTGCCTGTCTAAAACACCTGATGGTCGAATAAAGAGCTGAATGGCCAATAGTAAGGCAGGAGAGAGACATAGACCAGGCTGGCAAGCAGAGAGTATATATAGAAGGAGAAAACTGGAAGGAGCTAGAGCTAGGAGCCAGAGAAGGAGGAGGACATCAGGGACCAGCCACCCAGTTACATAGCATGCCCACCACAGAGTAAGAGTAATATTTACAGAAGTAAGAGAATGGGAAAAGCCCAGAGGCAAAAGGTAGACGGGATAATTTAGTTAAGAAAAGCTGGCAAGAAATAAGCCAAGCTAAGGCCGGGCACTTATAAGTAAGAATAAGCCTCTGTGTGTGATTTACTTGGAAGCTGGATGGTGGGGCCCCCAAAAGAGCAAAAATAAAACAACAATAATCTGGGGTTTTCTTTATCACCCCGTGTGAACTACCTGTGTAAGGGAGTGTGTGTGTGCATTTGTATGCATATGTATGGTGGCACTATTGAGCCCTGAGGTTTCAAGCTGGTCTGGCCCAGTCTGACCTGGAGCCCATGGGCTAGAGTCTTAGGAGGCTCCTTTTGGCTGCTACTTATCAGGGGAATTTGGAGGTGAAATTCTCAGCCCCACCAGCCGGAGGCGCTGATGCACATTGTTTAGGGCAATTTGAAATTATTATTCCCCAGTGGCCTGACTCACATAGCTGTGCCCAGTGGTCTAAATGGTCACGGCCATGAGATGGGGACAGACCACCTTCCCGAAGGCTAGTGTGCATATGCAGGGCACCTGTTTCTCAGCGGCATCCTCTATGAACAGAGATCCCTCACAGCACCTTCACAAGCTAGTCATCCGATTAGGAGAGTGGCAGAGTGGGCTCCTTGCTCTCCTGACTTGGGCACGAACTGAAATTCCTGAGGGGGGTCCATCCTCTTGGCTCCTGTTATCACAGATGCACGGAATGAAGCTCCCTCTCAAAAATGAGCGAGTAAAGCTCCCTCCTCACATTGAAACGGAATATGCCTCTGCCGTTGCTGCAGGCACGCGCGGTGCTTTTCCACGTCCCTGCTCACGTGGTTTCCTTGGATTAATAAATCATCCTGGTACTCACCGAAGCCCTTTCTGCCCTGCAAGGCTCATTTCAGATGCTGCCTCTCTTCGGAGCCTTTGATTCTACTCAGATGGAAGCAATGTCCCTCTCCTTGAAACATGAGGGCAGAGCCTCTGCCCCTTTCTTGTGCCTTCCTACAGAGGCGAGCAAAACCCCTGACACACAGTTGGGTTTGGGTGTAAACGCGCATGAAGCCGACCAGGCCCGGTGGATCTGCCAGGGCTCGCCGCCCCCCCCCCGTGCCCCGCCCATGTGGAAACCACAGACCCCTACCTTAGGAGTGAACATGTGCAGGATGCCATCAACCGCCCCTCGCAGCAGCAGCCCCCGAACCAGGAAGCAGGCCAACACCACGTAGGGGAAGAGGGAGCTGAAATACATGACCTGCAGAGAAGACAGAGGCCCCTGTCAGGCAGAGCCCCTCCTGCAGCTGGCAGCACCCCCCTTCCTGGCTCACAGCTGGGGCCCATGATCCTCCTCTGATATCAGGCAGCAGCACTTGGAGCCTGGAGACCCCAGGCACCGAGCCAAACCCACCATCCATCTGGCCCAGGCAGGAGCAGAACAAGCTGGAGTCAGCATGGCTGTGTCTGGAGCTGGTCTGCCTTTCAAGGGCTGGCGGGACTGAACTAGCAGTCCACACTTGTAACAGCTGTTGTGGGGTGAAAAAACATGGTGCTCTTCCTCCTCATCGTCCCCGTCTCATGTCCCCGGTAGACCATTCCAGGATCTCCCCTGTCCTTAGAGGTCCTATAGCAGAAGGCATCTAGGAGGTCTTGACACTGTTCCCCAACAGAACCCACCAGAAGAGGGCCTAGCCCCTAGGGATCCGGAACCTGAACTACGTGCTACTTGCCTGGTGCAGAGCCATACTCAAAGAATTGGATCATGGGACCTCGGCTGCAGTGAAACGAATCCTGGGGTGCGAAGGACAGGGCAGCAGAAAGGCCAAGAGGATGCTTCCTGAACTACCTGCATGAGTACTGACCTTTCAGCTGCCATCAACGGATCCTGAGGCCTCAGGCTACCCACTTTGTATGCGTCCATCTCCCCATCTCTAAAGGGCTGTAATATTCCTAACTTATCACGTTGGTGAGAGCCAAGGATGTGCAAAAGTGACAGTTCTGACAAATGCCATGAAGTGTCAGCTGCTATTCTGGCTTCCGGAGAGGGCGGAGGTTGGAGGCTGAGATGATGCCACTGGTGTTTCTACAACTCAGCGTCCTTACTCATCCATCTGACAAAGAACCAAGAGCCTCGGCCGACCAGCCAGGGCTCCAGTTCCAGCCCAGACAGACTAGCCATAGGACCTTAGATGAGGCACTTTCCCCTGTAGAGACCTCAGTTTCCTTGTCTGTAAAATGAGTGGGGGCTCTCGGATGTCTGCCATCCTTTCTATCCCTGGCGGTCCAAGAATTCTACTGGGTCATAAATAATAAAGATTGAACTGCTGGGAAAGGAGGATAGGGCTCTGCTGTGATGACCGTCGTTGACTGGACTGTTTGGGGGCCTCAAAGTTCTCAGCTGCTCTAACAGCCCTTTATCGGCAGACGGCACAGGGCAGAGTTTCACCAAAAACTTCTTAGACTACCCGATGCAAGGGCTTTTCCTCGAGAACTTAAGGAGGTACCACCTAGACAGGTGGCGCCCCAAGGCCAACACCTCTAGCTCCTTCATGTTTTCGGAACAGGCCTGAGCTGGGAGCACCAAGGCACACAGGGGTCCCAGTAATGACTCTCCAGCAAGCTCACCCTTGAACTGTCTGTGGTGACAATGCCCCGCCCCCTCCCAGGAGGCCAATGCTGTCACTCAAGTAGTCTTCCTTGGTGGGCTGGGACCCAAGCTCCTGCTGCCTGGGTCCCTGCTGCCTTTTCCCAGCTCACCTTTCCAGAGGACTGGATGCCCTTGACTACTGCCATGCCCACGATGCTCCAGGCCACGAGGAGGCAGAGTGTCATCTTCCAGTTGAGGCCTCCACTCTCTGAGATGGAGTTGGAGATGTCCAAGGCCTCTCGGTACCAGAAGTAGGTAGTGGCTGAGCTCTTCTCACACTCAGGTTCCACCACTGAAAGCACAGCAAAGGCCACAGGGCCTCAGCTTCCAGCCCTACGGGCCATCTCCTGTGTGGGACCCTGCCCAGGCGGCGGTGGGCGAGTGGGTAGCTGAGGGTGGGCTGTGCCACGATCTGGCCGATCCCTGAGGAATCCTGAGTCTCTGATGGGACCTGTGAGGCTTTGGGCCACAGTCACGTGGCTGAATTCCCACCTAGCCCATCGTCTGCTCATTAATTCACAAAAAGAAAGAAGTGCCAAGCTCGTCTAAAGGTTCTTGGGGGGAGGCCCTGAGACAGGCTGGAAACTCAGATGTCAGATCACTGGTTAAACGGACAGAATGAGAATGGGAAAATGGCTTCAGGATCTGCTTTCCTATCTGTGGATTGGGACGGTCTGCTGCGCACAAATTAAAATTGTTCTTGGACATACGCTATTGGAGTAACACAGTAGTTCATAATAACTAAAAAAAAAAAAAAAAAAATTCAATCCCTGAGACCTGTGTGTGCCAGGCCAGCAGGAGATCAGTAGGTCATTTCCTTAGGAGAAGGATAAAAAAAGAAAATAAGGATCAGGATGCAAAGTGATTTCTCCAAAGTGACTCAATGAACTAATGAAACCCCAAATCTTAGCACTAAACAGTTTAGACTCCTTCCCGGGATAGGGCTGGCCGGAGACCACAGTTGGGGTTCCTCAGGGGCCCCACACTTGCCTGCTGTAGTCCCATTCCTAATGACAGGACATTCGCTCCAGGGCAGGGGGTACTGGAAAGACTTGAAGAAGTAGAAGACACTCCACCCAATGATCACATTGTAGTACAGCCCGACGAAGAGGCAGACCTGAGGACAAGGGTCAGGCTAAGACCACAGAGGCTGCAGGTGAAGCCACCCCCTCCCCCCTGGACTCCATCCAAGGCCCAGCAGCTCAAAACCAGCCATGATGGAGGATGTGGGGGTGGGGTGGGGGGATGGGGTGAGATGGAGTGGGGGAGGGGTGAGATGGAGTGGGGGCGGGGGTTGATCCCAGTCCTTCTCCATTCATCTGGTACTCAGGCAGTCCACAAAGGAATTCCTGGGATATTAAAATTTTCTCCTTTAAGCAATAAACTCTTAAAATGTTAATCCTTTCCAGTTTAAAATTCCTGTAAGACATTTGAAGCCCTTCCCCCATCATTTCCTGATGACTCAGGATTCTAATTAGAGATGCCCTCCAGGACCGTGGAGACGCACCACAGCACTGGTCCTTACAGGCCCAGATGGTGGTGCTTTTTGAGATTGTACGGATCACTGGTTTTCCCACCTCTGCTCTTCTCTCGGGTGCTGCTCTTTCTCTGGAAATGTGAGCAGCCCACCCCTAGAGACACGGCAACTAAGCTTGGCAGTGTTTTATTAAAACAGGAGGGTCTAGCAATGTTTAACAGACAGGGTTCGGCTGCATCTGCCCCTGATGCTCAGAGGTCCCTTCCAGAGGCCTGGCTGTCCCAGACAATTGAGATTGCTCGCTAGTGCGAATGCAGAGGGCCCCTGGTTTCTTCCCTTTCACGTGAGCAACCGTGTGAAGGAAGGAGCACGTGTCTACAAACACAGAGAGAACGAGGGAGGGGTTTGCACTGGGATAAACACACAGAGGCGCATCCATTTCTTTAACTGTGGTGTTTTTGGTCCAAGTAGAGGGTTCGCCTGCTCCCCCATGTGCGCACAGGGCCAGCCTGGCAGTTACACTGTAGCTGACCAGAGTAAGCTGAGCAAAGGTGATGCCTCATTTGACAACAGGACGGAACAGACTTAGGATAACCTTCCTACCATGTTTGCTAGGCTCCTCAGTCCCTTCCAGAAGTGAATTCCAGTTTTTATCTCAAGTATGAGAGTGGGCCCCTGCAGGCTTCACCTTTAAGGGATGCTCAATTTCCTCAGCCATTTATAGCTCTCAGCAAGATTTCACCTACACCACACAGATGAGCCTAGAAGTCCCCACCTAAGTCCCAGGAAGTCTCCCAAACCCTCATGGCTCCTGGGTTGACCCTTAGGCTCCCGTCTGAATATTTCAACTGTTCATTTGCATGGCACTCTAGCAAGGAGTCCTAAGCCACATATATTTGAAACTCATTTCCCAAGGAAAGGGAAAGGAATTTGTGAGGAGCTGAGCTGGTGAGGAGTGGTGGAGACCTGGGATAGTCCATCTGTCCCCAGCTAATAAGGACTGAGATATCCTTGTGAACATGGCCCGTTTTTTTTTTTTTTTTCATCGTTTATGAATGTCACATATGCTTTCTGGCAGTGTCAACTTTCAGCTTAGGAAATATGGTGACGATGGCCCTGAAACACCAGCTGTAAGTTATTCTCTTGATGTTCCTTCTTGCTCCCCTTGCATTGGCCCAGGACTCTGGCCTGTAAACCTGGTGACCTCCTCCACACGATCCAAAAGTGGCCCTTCTGCCTCCCACACAGTGCCAGCCCCCCAGCTCTGAACTCACAATACAGCTGGAAAAGCCGATGCCCCCCAGGCGGGGGCACACGTAATGCCACACGCCGATGCTGCCACGGCGGATCCTCTGGCCCACAGCCAGCTCCAGAAAGAAGAGGGGGATGCCAATAATGATCAGCAGCACCAGGTAGGGCACCAGGTAGGCACCTGCATGGAGAAAAGAAAGGCCGTTAGAGAAGGTCTGGATCCGGTTGGCAGTGTGAGGAAAGGGGTGGCAGCCATGCCCTGCAGTCTCAGCTATAGTGTGTGGGCAGTGGCAACCATGTACGGGGAGGGGTGGCAGCCACGTCCAACAGACTCAGCCACATCTTAGGCCATCTGGAGCTTCTCTGCAAACGGTGTGGCCCGTGGCTGTGATCTCTCCAACACTGGCCCATTCAGACCTCTCCTCTCCTTGATCCTCTGACTTGAGATGCGAAATGAGGGAGCATATGGATGCCAGTGCCTTCTGCTCTCAAGGCTGGGCTCAGAAGCAGATACCCCCCTGCCTCTCGGGGAGCCACATGTCAAGTCACAGACGCTGGCCTCACATAGTGCTCTGTGGACACCTGTCCACCACCCTCCCAGATGTCCCAGGTCCTGCTCACTCGTTCCCAAGGGCTCACTCCCACCCACCTTCCCACTCTGTGGTCCAGCCTGCTGGCATCTGAGACAGATGCTGACACAGCAGACTGAGCAACTCTAGAGGAGCTGAGCTTGGAAACTCTCCAGGGAGAGAGAGGGTCTGATCAGCATCACCATTAATCTGCAGCTAATTGGGAGGAATGGAAGAGAAATTAGTTGTTCAGGAAAGCGTGATAAGGGAATCATAAAGGATGGAATGATCTTGCTAAAGATTACAGATAACAAATTAATCTTGCTGTCTTCAACCTAGCTACAGACAGGATCTCAATTCCAAGTGACAGGGCATTTAGCAAGAGAATTAGAGCCACGGCTGGACATGGATGAGTGCACCCCACCAAGAGTTGTGCCAAGAACATAGCCCTGTTAGCAACACTATCGGTCAGGCCCTGCCTGTCAAACTGTCTTGCTGGCTCCTGTCTCCTGGGTTACCTAGCACCTTCAGGGAAACCCTCTCAAGAGAGGAGTCCCCCAAAGCCTCAGCTACACTGCTCTGTCCCTTGTCACTCACCCTTCTCAGGCACATGCCTAATCTGCCAATGAACACTGGAGGTCAGGCAACTACTGGACACCTATCCGTCAGCAACAGAAGCTGTTTCCCATGGGTCTCCTCTATGGCAGACTCAGGCTTTGGGGGATGCAGGAGAAACAGAAGGCCCCGATGCCATCCTGGGAGACCTCGTGGGAGGCATGCTCCCTCAGGTTCCTTTAGACAATGTCAGCAGGCATGTGTATGCACACATCCTGGATTGGTCACACCACAGGGGGCCACCTGAGCCCACATCTGCTGAGAGAACTCACAGGGGAGAGCCTTCCAAGAGAAGCTTCCCACGGAGCCTCACAGAGCAGCTGCATCTTAAAACACACACGCACATGCACGCACACATGCACGCACGCATGAACGGAGGCATGTGCAGTTATCCACTCATTCATCCTGTCCCTCACAAGCAGCCCCATCAAGTGCTCAGAAAAGGGAGATCCTAAAG